CCCCCCCCCCCCCCGAATCCAAGCCAACATTTTGGCCCTTCAACCCTCAGCCCCTGGCACCAAAATTACACCTGGAAAGAAAATGGCCCACCTCCCAGCGCATTCGGACATGCGGTTCTGACCCAGGATGGGCCAAGGACCCATGGCTGCCCCACACTCACCTTGTAAGCCTCACGGGCCGCCCCGTCGTTCCCATCCCCACGTCGCCAAGGCAGGGTCGGGTCGGGAAACCGGGAGCTCTGGAGGCTGCTCCCGAAGAGGTCCATGTAGAAGAAGGCATACTCGCCGGCGGTCAGCCCTTCCCGGTGCGCCTGGAGCATCAGGCCACGGAAGATGTCGGGCGGGCAACAGACGTACACAACTGCGGGGGAAGCAGCACAACGACTCCCACATCAGCACCCGGGGACTCCCGGTCGGGTGGAAGAGCCCAGGGGGCGGAGGGGGTGGGTGGGTGGGTGGGGTCTTTAAAACCCCTTTGCGTTCGGTTCATAGGATGCTTTCCTCTCAGGGAATAGGACGACAAAGCCCATCGTCCCCGGGGCCTTCCCGCCGAGGAGTTAAAGAGTGGGGGAGTTTGGATCTGGTCCACTTTTGGGACTCTCTCTTGGCCGTAAAAAAAAAGGATAGATAGAAAAGATAGAGATGATGGAGGGATGGCTAGGTGGATGGATAGATAGATATGGATGGATGGATGGAATAGACAAAGATGAATAGAGATGAATAGAAAGATGATAGACAGATTGATAGATAGCTAAAGCTAGATAGAATATACGTACTGTATACACACACACACACACACACACACATAATGATATATATGTAAGTAGATCCCTGCTTAAGTGAGTCACACAGTCATTAAGCGAATCTGGCTTCCCCATGGGATGTCACACAAAGGGATCACATGATCCTGGATAGCTGTGACCATTATAAACATGAGTCAGTTGCCAGGCCTCTGAATGTTGATCCTTTTTTCCTTCTTTCTTTTTCTTTCCTTCCTTTCCTTTCTCACTTCTTTTCCTTTCCTTCCCTTCCTCATTCTTTCTTCCTTCTCCTTTCTCTTTTCTCTTTTCCCCTTTCTCCTTTCTCCTTTTTCTTTTCTCCTTTATCCTTTCTCCCTTCTCCTTTCTCCTTTCTCTTTTCTCCTTTTTCTTTTCTCCTTTCTCCTTTTTCTTTTCCCCTTTCTCTTTTCTCCCTTCTCCTTTTTCTTTTCTCATTTCTCTTTTCTCCTTTCTCTTTTCTCCCTTCTCCTTTCTCTTTTCTCTTTTCTCTTTTCTCTTTTCTCTTTTCTCTTTTCTCCTTTCTCCTTTCTCCCTTCTCCTTTCTCTTTTCTCCTTTCTCTTTTCTCAAATCCCTCTGGATGACTCTTTGCAAGGAAGCAGCCAATGCCTCCCCCCCCTCCCCCCCCCCCCCGTCGGGAGGACTGGCCAGCCGAGCTGCCAGGCACGATAAAAACCTAGCAACCTGCCTTCCTCGCCCGGGCAGAGCTGACCTCCCGCTTGGCCAAAGCCTGGGCAGCAAGGAGGGAAAAAAAATTCAGCTGGGGCGGAGGAGGAAAAACGGTGCCATTCAAAGGAGCTTCGTTTTGCTTTGACGAGCAAAGTTACTCAACGAGTAAGAAAAACAAAAAAAAAACCACCCCAAAATGAAATTAAATCCACTTTTTTTTTTCTATAAAAGGAGACCCTCACCTTTCCCCAGGGGGAGCTTTCACCCTGGGGAAGAAACCACCATTGAGGGTTTGTCCTGGTTTATGCCAGTGGAAAAGCGGAGTAGCTTTTTCAATCTTGCAACAATAACCACGATTCAGAGCTGGTGGGAACCAGTTCAACCTCTCTGAAGCTATTGGAGTTTAATAAAACAGGCCCCAAGAAGGAACCAGAGGGGCTCAAAGCTTCTTTGGAGCAATGTCCAGTTTTCCTCTGGAACTCCCCGTCACAAGATCCCCTGGGAATCTCTGGATGCTCTATGCTCGAATCCAGAACCGCGCTGCAACTTCCACAGCGGAAGCAGCAGGAAAAACCACCCCAAACATCGAATGCCTCTGGAGTTAAATAACAGATAACAGGTAATCAGAGTTGGAAGGGACCTTGTAGGTCATCTAGTCCAACCCACTGCCCAAAGCAGGAGATCCTTGGCAATCCAGATTGTAACCAACTAACCACGATTGGGGACCATGTCCGTTGGATGCATCCTGGCAAGCCCCAGGACTGCTCCCCACCCCTGCTGGCCTTGCCACCGTTCCCAAAGAGAGATGCAAAGGTGCCAGGCCAGGCGGGCACCCCTTTATACCCAATGACACGCCTGGCAAAACGAGGCGGGCTTTCGCTCTCGTTCCCCCCCTTTCGCAGTCGCTCGCTGGGCCTCGGGCCGAGAGACATCCTGTTGTTTTCCTGCCGAGCGTCCTTCCCGCCACCGGCAACCAAGGTCAAGGGACACGCTCTGTCCCCCGGGTGGGGTCCCGGCATACGCCAGCAGCCCCCTGCCCGAGCCAGCTTCTTCCTGTTTTGCTGACTTGCAAGATAGAAGGAAAGCCGTTTTCGGTCCTTCTCCGGACTTGAGTTGGGGTTTCAGATGTTTCCAAGCGGGGCTGCCCATTCCAAGCCTTGGCACGCTTCGGTCTTTTTAGATAGATAGATAGATAGGAGAGAGAATGATAGATGTGTGTATGTGTGTGTGTGTGTGTGTGAGAGAGAGAGGTAGATAGATGATAGATGAGAGAGAGAGAGAGAGAGAGAGAGAAAGAAAGAAAGAAAGAAAGAAAGAAAGAAAGAAAGAAAGAAAGAAAGAAAGAAAGAAAGAAAGAAAGAAAGA